GTATATAAACTAGAAATAAAATTAAAATAAGGGATTAGACATTTACAGAAGCAAAATGTACATCTAAGTAATATAATAGAGTAATCTGGCCTAATATAATGTAGCTGTGCTGGAAACATCAGATCAGGGCAGGCTGAGTGTGTTCTCTTCTGTGGTGACAGGCAGACACATATTGAGCAGCAAACACACAGCAGTTCTTCTGTTCTCCTAACAGATACGCCACTTTCTCCTGGTCTGAGAGAGTTTGAAATGTCTGATGGATCTGCTGTATTTGATCATAGAACACTGTCCGTATATCTGTGTATTTGGGGCATTCTGTTAGGAAGTGCAGCTCTGTCTCCATCTGATTCAGATCACAGTGTGAACACAGTCTCTGCTCCGGTGGCAGCCATGTTTTTCTGTGTCTGCCCGTCTCTATCATCAGCTTGTGTCCGCTGAGTCTGTATCTGGTCAACGTGCTTCTCAGTTTCTTATCTGACACTGTGTACAGATACTCTGCCGTACTGTACTCTCTCTTTAGGGCCAGATAGCATTGCACTTTACTCTGCTGTTGTGTTTGGGTTTGCCAGTGAGTGATGTAGCTCTGTTTGATCTGTGCAGTAATCTGACTGATTCTGATGCTGTGATGCAGAGCAGCAGTAGATGTTAGTGAAGCATCAGGACTGAAGCTCTGGATCAGCTGAGGGAGGGCCTTGCTTTCTTTGCTCATCTCTTGGTCTTGCAGGGCTTTATAATGATATGATTGGGGGTCACTGAGCTTCAGATGTTTCCAGAATTTAATTGCCCTTTTTTGTATCTTTATGATTAGAGGATATTTGCCTAATTCTGCCCTGCATGCGTTATTTGTTGTGTGACGGTGCACGTGTAGTATATTTTTACAGAGTTCTGCATGCAGGGTCTCAATCGGATGTTTTTCCCATTTGGTGAAATCTTGATTGGGATTTGTCAGTGGACCCCACACCTCACTGCCATAGAGGGCAATGGGCTCAATTACTGATTCTAATATTTTCAGCCAAATTCTAATAGGGATCTCTATAGGACATTGCCGTTTGATGGCGTAGAAGGCCCTGCGTGCTTTATCTCTCAGTTCATTCACAGCATGATTAAAGTTTCCCGTGGATGTGATTTTCAAACCCAGGTAGTTGTAGTGTGATGTGTGTGTTATCTGCTGAGTGCCTAATGTAAATGTGTGTGGTGTTCCCTGGGATCTGGATCTTTTCTGAAAGATCATAATTCTGGTTTTCTTCAGGTTGACTGTCAGAGCCCAGGTCTGGCAGTATTGCTGTAGCAGGTCCAGGTTCTGCTGTAAAGCGTGTTGAGTGGGAGACAGCAGAAGCAGGTCGTCTGCATACAGCAGGCATCTGATCTGAGAGTTGTGTAGGGTGAGGCCAGGGGCTGCAGATCGCTCCAGACTGCTCGCCAGTTCATTGATGTAGATGTTAAATAGCATTGGGCTTAAGCAGCAGCCCTGCCTCACTCCACGCTCCTGGGAAAGATACCTCGTACGTTTGGTGCTGATTTTTACGCCACATTTACTTTCAGTGTACATTGATTTGATAAGCTCATAGGTTTTACCTCCTATGCCACTTTCAATAAGTTTGTAGAATAGTCCTTGGTGCCAAATTGAGTCAAAAGCTTTTTTAAAGTCAATAAAGCATGCATATATTTTACCTTTATCTTGGTTAACATGTTTTTCAATTAGAGTATGTAATGTATAGATGTGATCAGATGTACGGTAATTTGGCTTCTGCTCAGTACATTGTGTGTGGTGATGAAGTCTAATAGTCGAGCGTTTATTATGCTACAGAATAACTTTCCCAGGTTGCTGCTCACACAGATGCCTCTGTAGTTGTTAGGATCAAATTGATCTCCGTTTTTAAAGATTGGTGTTATCAAGCCTTGATTCCAGATGTCAGGGAAGTAACCTACGCTCAGAAGCACATTGAATAGTTTTAGAATGGCCGATTGGAATTTACTGCTGGTGTGTTTTATCATTTCGTTTAATATCCCATCAGGTCCAGATGCTTTTTTGAGTTGGAGGTTTCTGATTTTTTCTTTAAGTTCTTTATCAGTTATTGGGAAATCTAATGGGTTTTGGTTATCTTTGATGGCTAATTCTAGTTTTTCCAGTTGGTTGATTGTTTGATTTTGCTTACAGTTTGTGTCTGTTTGTACTTTATTAAACAATGTTTGGAAATGACTTTCCCATATTTCTCCGTTTTGTATGGCCAATTCTTCATGATCAGTTTTTTTCAGATTGTTCCAATTTTCCCAAAATTGGTTTGTGTTCACTGACTTCTCAATTATTGT